CGGGGCCGGTCCCCACCCTTTCTCCGCCCCCGCACCTCCGGCTGCCGACTCGGGCTGCCCCCTATGGGTCTGGAGAATCCCCTCGAGACTCTTCCAGCTCCCCTTCGGATCAGCCCCGGCCCTAGCTCTCCAGCCGCCTCTCCCTTGTTCCCACACCTCTTACCCTCCCCACCCTCCTGCCTCCTCTCCACGTCCAAAGCTCCCGAAGATTTCTAGAAAAAAAGGATGAGCTTGAGGAAAAGAGCAGGAAGGTATCAACTTTGTAGAAAACCGGTTTTCAGCCCATTGCCATTTGATGTTGATTAAGAATACGAGATATGGACTCGAGCTGCCCAAATTCAAACCCCTTCTTATAGCCTCACTAGTTATGTGGGCGGTTCACTTACATGACCTAGAACTCCATAGCCAGCAACTTGGGTGAAGTAATATCGACTGGGGAATTCTCATTCGTGAATTGATGCCGCAAACAACTGCGGACCAATACTTTCTCTGTGCTCAGCTCTCTTCTGGACGAGTAGTCTGGGACACAGTAAAGACAGAGAGGCTTTTGGACTCTCCCCTCGCTGAGACCAGTGACCAAACAGTGAGACCCCAAATGGGCTAGCCTGATAGGCAGAGAGTTCTGGGTCAGGGACCTGGGAGGCCGCGAGGGCCTAATGGGGCCCTGCACTGGGCTGAGGTGGGGAGTGATGGCTTCCCAGAGGAGGATAAGTCCACCACCGAGAGAGCAGTTTCATGGCCTCACCAAGCTCACATCTCGGAGGGGAAACAGCAGGAAGCGCACAGGTTCCCAGGGACGGTGAGGAAGAAGCAGTACAACAATGAATCAATATTCAAAGAAAGAAACATGTGGGAGGCTTTTGACAGGACAGGAAGATGAGGGTGAGTGAGGTGGTTGCCCTTCAGTCCTCCTCAGCCGCCTCCTGCCAGATTCCTTGCTCCTGCTGCACTTTGACTTCCTTCTTCTCTGCCTCTGAGGGAAGTGGGAACTGAATTATCCTGTGTGAGCTGAGCACTTGGCACAGGGCTGGAGCTATAATAGGTGATTTCATACCATCCATCAGACTCTCAGTTATTTGATCACAAATGCCTGGCTCTGAGTCAGGATCCACACAGAACTGTTGAATAAGAAAGTAGTCAAGAGCTTTACATATCACTGCTCCTTACGCTACCCCCAAACCCTGACTTGGGTCTCAGCCACTAGCACCAAGCCTGTCTCTACCATCCCCACCCCCACCTCTACTGTACATCCTCCCCTTGGAGGTCCCAAGTCAGGTCCCACCCAACAGGTCAGAACCTGAACCCAGTGCCTTCCATCCCAACAGCCTCTGCATCCTCCCTTGTGCTTTGCTAGAAAGTGCTTTTGTGGAACGAGACACATCTTCTGCTCTGTGCCCCCAAGCTACAGCTTGGTTTCGGGCTCAGATTTCCAAGTCTGAATTTCCTAGCAGTGTATTCATCGCTCTGTGCCTCAGGTGTGCTTTAATTATTTTTATTTTGAATTATTTTAAATGAAAAAATAACAGAAATCCGTTGACTCATAACCAATGTTTTTTGATGTACTAAGTAGCAAGCTAAACAGGAGACAACTGTACCTCACAGTCCTGCTAGAGTGCCATGCTAACCCTTCTGTAACAGCTGATAAACATCAGCATTGTCCTAACCCTTCCACATCTGTTAAATCACACCCTTACCACACCTCACAGTGAGGTCATTGCTATACCTATTGACACCGTGGCTCTTCAGGGACTAAGTAAACCAGACACCATTTATTCAACTCTTACTCTCAGGAATCTTCCCAGCTGATGACCTTCACAGGTGACATGTTTGGCTCTTACAACCATTAAAAATACTGAATTAGTTGGCAACATGTAAACACTGATATGTTACTGGAATTTCACATTTCCAGAATTACTTGAATAAAATGTGAAAATTGGCAACATCTAAGTAATATCCCTCCTGCCTGGGGCAGACACTCATCAGTTCCCCACAGTTCCCACCCCTGGCAGTTTTTTCCCCAACACTGAAGAAATCCCCCTGCCAGCCTGAACAGCGCTGCGGAAGTCCACCAGTGCCCCCTCGCGGAGGAGTTTAGAATTTGCATCTTATCCTCCAGGAATCATTACGGGATTTGGTAAGAATATCCAATCAGAGGGAGGAGAGGCCTAGGAAGCGACCCATCAAAAGAGAGAGGGGAACGGAATTCAACCAATCAGGACAGAGAGCGCTCAGAATAAAAGAAACTCTTTTATTTTATTAGGGTAGGAAACAACACACAGCGAGAACTTGTTTTCTGAGCGGCCCTCAGCGCTCACCGAGGGCCAGGCAGGGGGCGGCGGAGCAGGCAGGCGGCAGCGAGGCTGATGCCCTGCCGTTGGGG